ACAACTATAGTTTTTTATTTAATTTTTACGATAAATAAAATAAATTACAAGATAAATTTTTGGGTTTTGTATAAAAATCTAAAAATAAAAACAAAACACTTGTATTTTGACAGAGACAGACTTCGTATAGTTTAGATAATCTCCACAAAAACAAATTTAAAACATTTTTTAAAAAAGTTTCACTAAAAATTTAATAACCAGTTGAAGAATGGGCTAGAGAAAAAAATTTGAAACTAAATAAGTTTTGCTATTTTTTTGTTTATTTTTCATGAATATACAACTAAAAATAAGTTTTTTTGAAAATCAGTTTATTTGTATCACGTAGGCTTGTCATGTGCACTTGCTTCAGATAAAAAAAATCCAGAGGTTTTAAAAAATCCTTGAAAACATTTTGATTTGTGTTGCGTCATTAAATTTTTCATTTCATATCCATGATTTATGCTGATATTTATATGATGGCATGAATGATAAAAGTCGATTACACATTTTTCAGGTCCAGAGAAGTCAACAAAACGCCACAAGCCACATATGATGAACGCGCGCCAAAGGACGCATCTTACACGAAGCATGAGGTAGTTGAGGATCTTTTTATCGTATTCGAACCTGGTCGCTGCGCGTACTGCGAAACAGCACCAGGCGACTTTAACCACTAGGCCATTAGGCTGCAGCAAATCAAAAACGGTGTTTTTAAAACATTTTTGATGTTACCTATTCCAGAACTATCTTAGAAACACCAACATGTGTTTTTTTCTAATATATGCAACATGTGTTCATGTGCATATGTTTTGTTGCTAGATATTTCTGAGTTTTTTTATCATTTTCGTTTCTTTGTTAGAAGTGGTAAAAGTAGTAGTATTAGTAGTGTAGTAGTAGTAGTAGTAGTAGTAGTAGTAGTAGTAGTAGTAGTAGTAGTAGTAGTAGTAGTAGTAGTAGTAGTAGTAGTAGTAGAAAAAAAGGAGAAGAAGAAGAAAAAGAAGAAGAAGAACTAGCAGTAGTTGTAGTAGCGGTAGTAGCAGTAGTAGTATAATTTTAAAAACATTTATCTTGCGCGCCATTGTAATTTCGTCCTAGGCGCCATCCATTTATTTATTTAAAAATAATTAACAATGAAATTGCAGAAATAATTGAAAACAGGTTCTTCTATTTTTTTTATTGATTTTTAAACTACGCGAGTTAACGGACAGACTTTAATTAAGGAAAAAGTTTGTAAAAACTACAATTATTCTGTCTTTCCGCATACATTTTATTTTTATTTTTTTTGCGATTTAATGTAAAATTTACATTATGATATGAACAATTTTGTTTAAAATTTTATCTATAATACTTTTTATTTTCGAAATTTTTTTGTACAGCAAATTCGATATGAATAATTATTTCATTTTTTTCAACAACTGATAAATTAACGTCAGCCAATGATTGACAACTAACTGTATCAGATAACGATTAAAAATCAATCAATCAACAACCAACCAACAACCAGCCAACCAACATACAACCAGCCAACCAACATACAACCAGCCAACCAACATACAACCAGCTAACTAGCCAACCAACAACCAGCCAACCAACAACCAGCTAACCAACAACCAGCTAACCAACAACCAGCCAACCAACAACCAGCCAACCAGCAACCAGTTACCAACAACCAGCCAACCAATAACCAGCCAACCAACAACCAGCCTACCAACAACCAGCCAATCATTCTAAGGAGCCTGCAATTACACAACTATTCACATCATCAAAAATTAACGATATAAGGGTCAAATTACATAAAACAAATCAAAAACATGTATTTTTCCTTTTGCTGCTAACAAAATACAACACCAACAATTACAAATTTCTATTTTCTGGAAACTATCGTAACAGAGATAAATGGAAACGTTTTGATCGGCGGTATCAATTTTACTTTCTTTCCAATCTTCTTCCTCAAACTGTTTCCATTAAAAAGGTAAATTAATGTCTCTTCGACACGAAATGTTGAGGCCTCCTGATACAAAAAAAACATTGAAAACCGTTTCGTTTGAAGCCAAAAATAGTTTTATAACCGGTCGCGAAATTTTGTAACTTTGAAGAAAAAGCGTTTTTCTGTTTTTAATGATTTGTTTTATTCAGTAAAATTTAACATTCGTTGATAGTTAATTTTTGTTATATTTTGTTATTATCCTAAAATAATCTTATTTGTAATGACAATCTAATTGATGAACACCGTGCAAAAAGTTAGGCCTCTTAAGTAGGTTTTCAAATAACAATTTTTATACAACAAACAAATGAATTAATTGTCTGTTTTATTGTTAAATAATAATAATAAATGATTAATTTATTAAAGAACTCAATGTTTCTCAGCTTATTGAACGATTATTTACAAAACGAGGAAGTCTTACAAAAATCAGCGCATATTGATTGCGACGCTCAACTCTACAAATGACTTTCCGTCAATTAGCAATCTAACAAACTAAAGCTGTGGTCCATTGTCATCATCATTACCATCATTATATCATCATCATCATAATATCATCATCATTATATCATTATCATCATCATTTTCATCATCATCTTTTTCGCCATCCCCGTGTTAATGTTGCTATTATTAATTCTCTCTTAATAGATTCCCGACGACACGGAGATCTTCATGCATTCAAACCCGGTCACTGCGACAACAGTAGTAACAGATACCTTAACCATTGCGCCATGCTAATATCATAAACATCATACTGTAGTAAGATCATCACCGTACCGCGTTCCTGATATTATCATCAACCCCATCATTATTGTCATCTTGGTTTTCTTCAGTTTTTCTTAATAATTCTACTTCTTACTTTTGGGGTACCTCAAGGTTCTATCCTTGGCCCTCTTCTATTTATGCTCAATCTACTTTTGCTTTTTCTGGTCCTATTCTCTAGAACTCTCTACCTCCTTCTCTGACTACTTCTCCATCACTTATGAAGTTCAGAGCGGATCTCAAAAACCATCTGTTTGCAAAATTCATTGAAAAGTGCTGTTGAACATCGCGGAATAGCGCTCTATAAACTAATTGATTGATTGATTGATTGATTGATTGATTGATTGATTGATCATCTTCATCGTCGTCGTCACCATCATATTAAAAAAGTAAAAAAGCCAGAAAAATGTGTAACGGATTTAGCATAACGTCCATTTATTTACGTATTTATTTACATGCATAAGAAATTTGAAAAAAAAAACCCTGAAATAAAAATTTTAAGAAAAATGAAATACTCATTTTTAATAAAATAAATAAATAAAAAATATAAATAATAATAAAATTTAATTATTAATTTATTAATTACAATTCTCTCTTCAATATTTGTCAGGGCCATCAACAGCAACAACAACAAAGACACAGTGCACGAATATACATGTGAAACACACAACGCGTCACACACACATACATTGCATGTGATGGGCGGGGACCATCGTGCAATCGAATGCAGTCACTGCAATAGCGAAGCGCCAGGCACTTTACCGTTACACCACAGCGCCACTCAAGGATTAAAAACAAACCAAACGAAAAAAAATAGAAATTAAAGTATAGCAAACTTATGGATAACAAAAATTATGAAAAAATAATAAAAAAAATCACCATTTAAAATTGACTTAAATGTATGCGACTGTGGAAAATATTTAATTTATTTCGGTTGTACATGCAGTGTACGGACCCATTATAAATTGGACTGTTAGATCATACAGATGTATTATAGTTAAAATGTTTGGATGTGTGTGTTTGTGTGTGTGTGCGTGTGTGTGTGTGTGTGTTTGTGAAATCCTGAACTGGATACAAGTAACCGTAAATTAAAAAACCGCACCAATGAATGTGAATGAATGAATGAATGAATGAATGAACGAACGAACGAACGAACGAATGAATGAACGAATGAATGAATGAATATAGGAATGCGTGAACGACTGAGCGAATGAACGAACGAACAGAGGAATGAACGACAAAAATAACCTGGATGAATTAAAAAGTCAATGAAGGAATAAATAACATGGTTGGGTAACTAACTACATTACGTATACAGACACAAGAAATTAATTCTACTACATCCAAGAGCGAACTTTTAGAGTTCCATTTTGGTTTCTAAAATTAAATGTGAAAATTAATCAATCATCTTACTTGAATATAATTTATACAAAAAGGTAAGTGACTGACTGATTGATTGAAAAATGTACTGACCAATCATGTAAAACGAGGCCTGTTATGAATACTAATTGATATATGAATATGAATAGTAATAAATTATGCAGATGAGAGCCTATAGAAGCAATGAAAAATTAAAATACAAAGGTTGTAGATGTAATCAATTGAATGAATGAATGATTGATTGATTGAGATTGATTGATTGGTTGATTGATTGATTGATGGATTGACTGACTGACTGACTGAATGAATGAATGAATGAATAAATGACTGGCTGGCTGACTGATTGACTGACTGACTGATGATTGATCGATCGATCGATCGATTAATTGATTGATTGATTGATTGATCGATCGATTGATTGATTGAAAAAAAATGATAACAGTATAATGGATCTAATAATAATAATAATAGAACATGACAAAGACACCAATCAGTATCTAAACGTTTATCTTTTCACTATTAATTTAATTAATTTTCAACTGAAACCAAACAAAATTGAAATTGCCAACAAACAAATATTTACAAGCACTCACTCACACACACACAACACACACACACACACACACACACACACACACACACATACATACACACAGACACACACACAAGCACACTAACTCCTACACGCTCGCATACAGTCCGACACATGAACCAAATAAGAATGGCAAACAATGAATTATATCTGAATAATGAATTAGGAATTGTTTCTGAATAATGAATTAAACAACTCATTCTAAATCATGAATTGTTTCTGAATAATGAATTATTTCTGATTCGTGAATTGTTTCTGAATTATAAATTATTTATGAATTATTAGATATCCTTATTAAATAGCAAATTCTCACAAAAAACTGATACGCTTAACGACCAGCTGCTTAAGCTTGTCCAACTCCATGGACAGAGTACTCACATGTTGTCGTTCTTCGTTCAGGAAGTTTCGCAGAGTTTGCACCATGCGTTCGTTCGTTTGCAGTTGTTCTTTCAAATCGTTCTTTAGGGCGTCGACCTCGCTCACCATGGCTTGGTACTCTTCAAACGACATCACAGAATGTTTGTTGGCTGCTGGTCTGCTGGCTGGTTCGCTCTTCTGTGGAGTTTGTTTGGCTATGAAGGTAGTTTTGTTAAGAATATTTGGTTGTTGTTGTTGCTGGCTGTTTGGGAAACGATTAGGCTGGATTGGTTTTTTTGGTTGCTGTTGATGTTGTAGCTGTAGACGCTGTTGGGGCTGCTGTTGTGGCTGCTGTTGTGGCTGCTGTTGTGGCGGTGGCGCATACTGTTCAATTGAATTCATGAAATTATTTAGATGATGTTCCTCCTCCCTTGAGCAGTTCTGTAGAAAATAATTGACGTCATCGTCTGAAACATTTTTTATTGGTTGCTGCTGCTGCTGCTGTCGTTGTTGTTGCTGCTGCTGGTGGTGGTATACAGAATCACTGACAGACTTAGCAGGTTTGCACCTATCAGCTCTAATATTATTACAATCAGCAGTTGTCTCAGTTGTAGATTCACTTTTAACGATATTATCACGCGATGTAGGAGTGGCAGAAAGATGGACATGAGATGTAGAAGGGGGAGAATGTTGGTGGTGTAGAGAATATTCCTCGGTTTCATACTCGCGACCACCTCCCCAACACGAATCCAACTCTGAGCCCGATCTGTTGTCTGATTCTACGGCAGCATCTTGCTCCTGCTCTTGCATGTACCTTGCTGGTAGCTTCTGTTGTTTGCTGTCTGATATTTGCTGACGTTGCATCTTCTTCTGCTGCTGCTGATGCTGAAGTTTTTGGAAGTAGCTGTTTGATTTCATCTGATGCAGTTGCTGCTGCTTCCGCTGCTGCTGCGACTGTTTATTAAGGAAGAAAGCATCAAACGATTCGTCACTCTCTAAGTTGATGTCGAGATTATCCTCACTGTTCTGTCGATCTCTCCTGACCATCGCCTCACCAAACACGTCGAAACTTCTCTCAGAAACAACCCCACCCCCACCTCCCCCTCCACCGCCACTAACTTTAGAGGCCATCCCCCTACTCCCCCGACCACCTTCACACACACGACTACCACATACGCCCCCACCGTCAATCAGGTCCTCGTCAGACGGCACGCCAACAGCGGTCCTGTTTAGAACTTTGGTCGGAGGGCGTCTCTGAGGGCCCTTTACTCGATTGGCAGTGATGTGAATTAGTTTCGTTGTGTTGGTCTGTACGCTATTCATGTCGTCTTCGATGTTAGTAGCAAGTGGAACGTGCAAGGCAAGATCTAGGGGAGAGAGTGGTTATGGGAGGAATTTTAGCTACTAATACAGATGTTTTTATCCTGGAAATTATACATTTTTTATTATGTTTCTATTTTTCTTTCTCTCTCTCTATCCTCTATCCATCTATCCATCAATCCATCTAACCATCCAACCATCCATCCATTCATCCATCCATCTATCTAAAAAAAATTGAACAAATTTAATGAAAATTATTAAAACCTATATCTGTCAGTGATGGATCTTGAGGTTCATTGGACTGTGATTGGTTGTGATAATTAATAACTTTTATAAATTATGGCTAATTATTGCTAATAGATGTTAATTATAGTTAATTAATGCTTATTATTATCAACTTATAAACATCATACTGATGGTTGAAAGGTTAAACATCATACAATATTGGTCATTGTAATTAATAATTTGTATAAATTATAGCTAATTATGGCTAATTATTGCTAATTAATATTAATTATTGCTAATTATTATTAACTATTAATATTATTATTTATGAAAAATTGTTATCAAGTTAAAAAAAATAGACCCAACACAAACAGTGTAAAAGATTTCTTCATTTGCGTCTGAGATGATTTCAACAAAATTATCAGGGAAAACCCCAATCCTGTTGTTGATCTCCCCTAGCCACCATCCATCATCTGGTAGGGCAGTCTTCAGAACATTTACCAGGTCACCAGTTTTTAAACTGAGTTCATCGTCGTTCTGGGCAGTGTAGCTATATAAAACTCGTGCCTTTTTACTGCCTGAAAATTAATGAATTATTTTGATTTAAAAATTTAAGAAAAATTTAAGACTTTAATTAAATTATTAAATTTAATTAAGTTTAAAACTTTTAAATTAAAAAGTGGTTGAGTGATTTACCTTGATTGAATCCACGAGACATTGATGAAAATTCTTTTGCCGAAACAATATTTCCCGTATTTGATATTAAAAATAATATATAATAATATGATATATAATAATTAATAATAATTTTTTTTATTTAATTTAATAAAACTATAATCAAACAGAAAAATGTGACAAAAAAACGAAAAAATCCAGAAAAATACTCAAAAATCGCTAATTTAAAAAACTTTTTAAAATGTTGCGCAGATGTTTAGAGAATAAATAAACACAACACATTGGTGACATAATTGATAAATTAGGGAGTCCTAAATAATATGTTTTTTTAATGAGAACACAAAACCGCAACGAAATTTATTTTCGAATATTTTATTTACATATTGGGTGATTCATCTAACTACCACAACATCGTATTTATTTTTTCTGTATTATCAGTCTATGCATTAACCTAAAATTTCTTTTTAAACACTCAATTGTCGCGTTTTTAAATGTTTTGAATGCTGTTTAGAGCTCAATTAATTTGATTATAACTTGAATTTTAAGATTGATTTTTCATCGTTTCATTTTTTTTCTAAATTATTTTTTTATTTCAATCGCCATGACCGATTGTCCACGGTATTTTTATTTTATTTTATTTATTCATGTTTTATTTTCGTCTTTAAGTTTTATTATATATTAAAAAAAGTAAAACTTTGATGGATAAAAAGAACGATCGTTAACAAAGATAAATCAACAATTCTAAATTGTAAATCTTTAAATTCCTAAATTGGAATACTGCATATAGAATAGAGTCCTCACATGCAAAAAGACAAAGAAGTGTTGGGAAAAGTTCAAAGACGGGCTACCCGAATGATTACCAATAGCGAAAAACTTTCATATGAGGAAAGATTGAAGAGATGCGGATGACAACTTTGGACAAATGTAAGACTAGAGGAGAACTTATTCAGGCGAACAAAATCATAACGGGTTAAGATGAGATAGATTCATTCCTATTCTTCCAATTTACAATTTTACATAAAATAGAAAAACAAGATGGCACCAGTACAAGCTTTTCAAAGAAAAAGTTGGAACAATAAAAGGAAGATTTTTCAGTAAGAGAGTTATTGAACATTGGAATATGCTGGATGAAAAAATTGTAACTGCTCCTACAATGCGGGAGTTCAAAGTCAGACTTGGAAGATTGGGATTTTAAATCCATATTATTGGTCAAAATCCATCCACTTTTACTGTTATAACTTTTATTTACTAAAACTGACCAACATGACAAATTTTTTTAGTTTTTGCCGAACACACAGATTAATTAATTTGATTAATTAGAGATTAAATTAAATTGAAAAGATTGTTAAATTATTAAAATAATATTTTCATTGAAGGGTCGTGCATGGTGCCAGAGCAAATATAAATGAAACACCAGCTGAAGTTGCCAAAAAGTTACTGCTTGCTACATTCCTCATGTGTTCACTGCCCATTCTGACTTATTTCGCTACCAAAAAATACATATTTGAAGGTTATATGAAAGTGTGATTTGATTTATTATGATTAGATTGTAGTTGTGTGTGTTTTGCTGATACTATTGATAAATAAATAAGAAATAATTAATAATATATATTATTTTTTATGTTTTTGTCTACACTAAAATTACATTTTCATTGCATTGATAAAGAGATAAATTTTAATAATTAATATTCAAACTTTATTCAACCATAGATCTCCTAAACTTCCAAAATGATACGAGTTCTTTGTTGGCAGTCATTCCATCGGTTATAATGGTCAACCTTGTTATTGCTTATTATGTTTATTTGGCGTGGAAGAGTGAACCTTTTACTGAAGAATTAGTGAAGAAAGATGAATAAATATTTTTAATTTTTAAATTCGTTCATTCGGAATTATTCTATAACGTGTGCAGTTAGATATGTTATTGATAAATAATAATTATTATCATTATTAATATTATTCTTATATATGTAATTACCATTTTTTTATTTTCCAATGTGAATATCCTGTCATGTGTGTATGTAATGTGTGTGTGTGTGTGTGTGTGTTTGTGCGGTATGTGTATAGGTGTAAACTGTACAATGTAACAGATCAAAATACCTGCAAAGGTATTATTTTAGTTTGCTAATAAATCATTAGAGTTATATTCGCGATTATGAACAACTCAATTTTTACCATTTTTAACTGTTTTGTTAGTGAATCGAATTCTTTATAAATTTTAAAAATGGATCATATCAAAAAATCAACACACCTTAACTTTTCTTCAGGCAACGGCGCTAAGTAAGTATCCGTCATTGAATTATATAATTTCAATTATACAATAATTGAAATTATTATTATGCATAATAATAATGTAATGCAAACTTTATTAAATATATAATTCCATGGTACCCGTAGGTATAAGTTATATAGATCTAGTTGCCCACTTTTGTTAACTCAAATGATCTTTAGTTCATTTTGCATTTCGTCGTACGTACTCGCGGCAGAGTTTTTCCCTTTTAAATTGAACATTCACTGCCCCGAGTTACTGAAACACATGTATTCATACGCTCCTCCTATCCGTATCAGCTAATTAAGCATTGCCTGAGATCTTTCCAGTTCTATATATAAGTTTGATTTTGTTATTTGTTTGTGCGCGTGAAACTTTTGCCAAATCATTCTCTTTATTGATTTTTTGTTGCAGAAGAATATTTTATAATTTTTCCCGTTAAAACTTCCTGATTATGCCCTTTTCAGTCAACGAAAAACGGCTTATTTTAAAACTCGTCTATCAGGCACATAGTAACGTGATTTTTTGTTTCTAACATAACATGGTAAAATCGTGAATATAATCTTATATATAGGGCCTACATCCAGGGGTGAAACATAAAAATCATTTGAATAAAATCATTAATTCGTTGTTACGTTTCAAGTTTGAAACATACTTTTCAAAATAAACATTCTTTTTAAGCAGAGGAAACAATACAATCGTTTTACAATGAATTCAAACGGACAAAAAAAAGATCAACGGAGTTTAGAAATATTAGGGAAACAACGTAGATGAGAATGTTTCAAACGCTTACTAGTTTCCCTTGACAAAATATTTTACAACCGTTCCAATGGATAAAAAACCTTCTGATAAAAGTGTCAAACCAAATCAAAAACCTTCTGAAAAAAGCGCCAAGCTGAATCAGTCGAGCAGCAAGTCAGATACGGACGTAGAATTTAAATATGAAAAAAAAGCACCTATAGCTATCAACACTCAGTTTAAATATTCACAATCTGACGGTTTTCATGACTCTTCGAATATTAACTTACCTCCAAAGGCTGACAATTTGAAATCAAAATTTTTCACGCAAAAATTTCCAAAATTTTCCATCCTAGTTTTTTCCCGTGAGTTAGATGATACTGCTACCGCTTCTAAAGAATCTACGAATTCAAAAAATTACTCAATGCAGTCATTCGAAGTTCTGAAATCCTCTCCCGAGACACAACAACTGCAGAAAACTCATAGCTTGGCAATTTTCAAATCAAGAAAACCAACGCCCAAAAAAATGATATCTCTCATTTCATCAGTCGACAGTTACGATATAGAAAAAAAAATTTCCGAAGAAAAAGCTAAGAAAAAATCTATTTTTGCTAAAATAATTGCTTTAATAGCACCCACTAAAATTGAAGAAACACGTGCATATGGGCCAACAGTGGTTCCCTCTGGGCTCCTCGAAATTGATGAATCTTCTAGATTTCCATCCTCGTCATATAAGAAAGTAAGCAAGACTAACACGCAAGATAGAAGAAGTTTGCAAGCTTCATCAACAATGACTATTGCAAGAAGTAAATCGAAAGTGCAAGATAAAATGGCTCGACCGTCGAGTGCCGAAAAGTTAAACGACGAATTATTTACGTCAAACTTTAAACAGTCTTCGCTTGGTATTTCAGAATCAGAGAAAGGATTTAAGAGGAAGTTGATATCAATTAGAAAATTAAATCAACTGGAACGAAAAGCACAGCAACAAGAAATGCGAGATCACCAGCAGAGTTCATTACCTAAACAACTCTTAGATCAGTCTCCGTCAGGATTTAGCGATACATCGAAAAAAATTCAAAAGAATGATTTCTCCAGATCAAATGAAACTATTCATTCGGATCAGGTTATTTTTAATCCTGTTTCCACCATTTGTATGAATGCAACTTTTTTCAACAAGTTACAAGGGATAATTCAATTAACGGTCTACTTGACGTAAATAGAGAAATGCCTGATAACATTTGTAGCGAGTTAACATAATATCTGAGCTAGAACCGTATTGTAAGAAATTATTTTTCAACTGGGGCTTTTTTTGACAGAGGTGGCATAAAAACCTAACACACCTAACACTTTCATGTCATCAACGGGTAACTTTCTTGACAGTGATCAGCATTTAAAAATATTTTATTGTCTTTCATTTTAAATACACTCAGTTTTATAATTTTTCATAAATATTTCTAATATTCTTCTTATCAATAAGCTGATTTTATATGTTCATTTTTAAAAGCTGGCACACTTTAAGATGCGTCACTTTGTTTGGCCTTAAATAAAAAAATTGAGACTCGATTTCATTGCATTGTTCATAATCACAAACATCTTAATAAAATTGAAAACTTAGGATGAGGTGATTGATCAAAGAGACGAATCCAATGAAATAACATTTGCTTCAAAGAGAAAAAAGAAGCCTAAATACTTTGTGTTTGTGATCATATGCAACTTAGCTTTCATGGTTCTGCTTATGTGTTATGCCTTGTACCATTTCGCACCTGAACCAAGTATGCCATGCTTATTTAGTATTATAATTATAATATTATAATTATAATACTAATAATAATTACTATAAATAAAAATTGCTAATAATGTTATAATTAATTAATAACTTATTATTATTGTTGCTTTGCTTACGTGGATTATTGTTCTCATTAAAAACGTGTTAATGAAAATTTTGACATTGATGACTAATCATGCACGATGAGTAAGTATAAGTAAGAGTTGAATGGTAAGAGGTGAATGGCTCATCAGTGAATCAAGTGCATGGTACCATTTTATAATTAATCAATCAACCAATCAATCAATCAAATTTATATAGCCCAATTTCTAAAAAATTCAACTAGGCTGAAATATTAATTTATTATTTTATTTTTCATTTAGGAACACATGATGAATATGATTACGATACTTAAAATGTCCGGTGAGATATAAAAAAATCTTTGAAATTGATATACTCTAATGGTATTCTAAGTACATGGAGATATAATAAATTAATTTAGCTGATGATTAATCCTTTATAATTTAATCAATTTTTATTGATTTTTATTTTAATTTATTTATTTATTACTTTTGTTGAAAGCTCAAGTAATACTAACATTTAATTTTTTTGTAAAGTTGAATGGTTGAAATGATTTATCATTTTGCTACAAAAATTTTAGACAGATAAATTATCTCCGAAAACAATAATTTTATTTACAATATCTTTTGAGCATTTAAATATGACAATTATTAAAACACAAAATATGAAATCTAAAAATCGATTAACAGTATATATATATATATATTTCTATACATATACATATATATATATATATATATATATATATATATATATATATATATATATATATATATATATATATACATATACAATACTC